TGTATTGACTATAAAAAACAAAACAAAAAACTACTTTTAGTTGGACTTTGAGCTGCTGGTGACCTGTTACACAGACAAGCTATTTTAAGTTCTTTGGTACATAAATAAATAATCTGAAAGTTCTACTGTTTGATAGACACACAGTATATGCAAAGAACTGTTAGCTTAAAAAAATGTACATACAGTCGCAGGTGATCTGAAGGATGATGCATCTCTCTGGGCGTGTGTGAGGATTCTTTTTCCTATCTATTTAAAGACATCATTTTCATATACTGTTCATTTTCTGGAGATGAAATTAAAGGCCAGACATGCTTTTATCGTCACCATGTAGAAGCTTCATTTTTCAAGCTTCTGCATAATAGATCCTTCAGCATACAAAGAAAAAGTTCAGAATTATTCAAAGAACCACATTAAAGTTTAAGCTAATCTTTAGCTTCTTATGAGCAGAATGAAAGAAACTAATGACATCTGAGTATGACTAAAATACAGACCAATCTACCGGCAGCCATGGAAAATATATACAAAAAAGTGTTTCTTCCTGATAGTCTTCAAGGAATGCTAAGCCTCTTTAGCATGGCCACCGATGACAGTTTATGAACGGCGTTCCTGGAATGACAAGTCCTTTCTTGGCTAGAACATTTAGCAGCATGCACCCCAAGTTGATTGACAGCATCAAACCCCTCCTCTTGGCTCTGATTGGTTTGTTTTGATCAGGAGCTCTGCAGTTCTTCACAACTGTTTGCTTTAGTTTATATAAGACAGATTTTTTTGTTTGTTTTTTTTCACACTGAGCTTAATGTGAATCAAAAGGTGAAATGTAGAAAAACATCTTCTACCCACTAATAATCATGGTGAGGGTGACTCTTTAAACTCCAAAACGAGGCAGCGCCACATAGCCCAGAACGACGAATCCAAAGCAAAATCTGAACGTCGTCCAAACAAAACATTTCACAAGCTTTTGCAGTGTTGCGCTGCACGAAAACAGTTCTGAACTGCAGAAACTGGGGTTCTGTTTGGAGTCGGGTTCTAACATGGTTCACCCGACTACAAACATGGTACAGACAGGTACCCACTCAGGTTCCCAAAGATGGTTTGTCTTGGTAAACGGTCCGTTACCTCCACATCGGAATGAATTGATATCGGCCCACACATCTGTGTCTGTGCATCCTCAATCCCAAACACATCTGTGCCTCCCTGGGCTAACAGGAACTCCTATTAATTTAACAGTGATCTTATTCATTAATAAAAGACCTATCATTAATAAAAACTGCTTATGATTTTTAATTGATATTTCAAAAAGTTCTGCCCCCAGAGAAAATTGGATGAAAGGGGACAGATCATGTCACCAGTTTGATATTAATTCAGATTTTCACAACAAAGAACTAGTCATTATTTATTTATCAGGGCTTTTTAAACCCTATTATATAAGATAATACCTTATTGATCCCTGAAGGGGGGGTATGATTTTGCTGAGCCAGCAAACAAAATATCAAAACATTTTGAATGCTTGAATTTACTGTGTGAAAGTTTGGTGCAACAAAGCACACGTATTCATGTGACTGGTGTCCTACAGAACCATGTGACAAATGTTGATGTTTTTCAAAGTAATATTAGTGTTTGTGAGACTCTTGATTGCTGTGCCATTCAGTCACAGCAACCTGGTTAGCTAAAACAGAAGGAATCAATTGTTTGTATCACTTTTGTCCTTATCACCACAGTAACACAAAATATTGTGACAGCACTTTAAATCTCTGTAGCCCACTATTAGATCCTCTTTTCAAATCAGGAAGGGTCAAAGGTCACCTTCTTCAGGATATCAAAGCAATGTGATGCCAAACAATTACAGTCAACACATGGGCCCCCTCCCCGCTGTGCTCCAGCTAACGTCCTCCCACAAAACTGTTCCAGGTACTCGACACAGACCTCTACCCGCTCTGCCTCCCTGATTTTTATTTTTTATTTTTAATCCTTCATCCCTCCCTCAGATGTTAGATGGCGCTGCAGAGGACTCCCATTATGTAAGCCTCCCTTACACTCTGCCTGGCCCCCTTTTTTCCTCCCTTCCTCGCAGCACCATCACAGAATGGCGCCTCCTATTGAGTTAGCAGCAGCCCCTACAATATGTCTGCACCAGAAGAGGGCTGGGGGGAGGGGAGGGAGAGATGTTGGATGGGAGGAAGAGGAGGGACAGAAGGAGTGAAAGGGAGAGAGACTTGGAAAGAGGGAGGGTTAGTTGGGCGAGAGAGGATGAGCAAGAGGAGAGGGAGGGGTGTGGAAGGCTGGCAAAGGGGAGAGATGAGACGAAAAGGGGGAGGCAGGGAGGTCAGAGAGACTGGCAGAGAGGAAAGGGAGGGTGGAGGGGACAGAAAAGGGAAGAGGGTGAGATAGATGAGAGGGAGGGAGGAAGGGAGAGCCAAGGAGAGGAGGGGGTAGGAGAGAAGAGAGGGAGAGAAGGAAAAGGAAACAGGAGGAGGCTGCTGGAGGAAAACAGGCTTCCCGTTCTGCGGTGGAGCTGGAGGGGAAAGAAACATTGGCCTTCATGGCATTAAACTCCCCGGATGTGATCACCTGGTCCACGTAGATCAGGTTCGCACTTCCTCAATGTCTGGATGCTTAATTAGGGAAGGAGGAGGCACTTCTAATAACATCCACTGTAATGCGAGATTGGGATTCAGCACATGGCTGCAAACCTGTCTAATGTATATAGTGATGAAGGTGAGGGTTTGTTCTTAGGCTCATCACCCCGACCCGATCCAACACCTGGTGTCAGATCAGCCCCACTGTCACCTGGCTGAACTCTGAACACATCCGCAGGGGCTCAAACGCAAACAACTATTGTGCTCAATAACAGTGTTCAAAAACAAACAGTTTAAATCGAAACGGCTCGGATGCTTTTTTTTTTTGTCATTTTTTTAAACAATAAAACATCTGGTAAGATCGAGATGGGCAAGGAGCTGCTGCTGCTGCAGCTGACAAAGAATAGCGGGCACACCGCGCTCAGCTAGCATGCTAAGCTAGCTCCCAACAACATGGGCTGTTTAAAACTAATTCTTCCCAATTCAACGCCTTGCTTCAACCAGACTGATCCATTACAGACAAGCTAACGGGTATTAGAGTTGCGGTGAGCTTCCCAAACACGGAAAAAAAACAAAAACAAAACACGCACACACAATAGCCAGGGTCCCACCGCCACCCTTCACATCACAGCCCCGCAGGTAGAGCACGGTTAACGGCCAAATATTTGCGGCTGCTCTCTCGGCGTCATGACTCCCGGGTTTACCTGCTTTCACATCCAGGACTCCCGTCTGAGCGAACCGTGTCACCTCAGGCTGACCGAGGCCGTGTCTTCACTCTCTAGCGCGCACAGCTGTGTCCTCCCAGGTGTCTTAGGAGGATCATCGGCCGTCGCTCTTCCTTCCCCAAGCCAGACGGTCCCTCACCAAGCGGCGGCTATCCTGTCTCCTCTGGCCAGAGCGGAAACGGAGAGCGCTCCGAGCTTCACCGGACAACCAATAGGGCCGTTCCGCGGAGCGCTGAGGGCGGACACATGTTAGCTGGTTTACTCCCGAAATAGAAATTCACCTTTAGCTGTGCTTATACTTCCCCCGTAGTGAGAATCGTTTTGCCCATTCTCTTCTGACGGACAATACACAGCGAGCCCGCAAACTGCCCAATCCAAAATGGCGCAAATAAAAGAAGCGGAAGTGACATCTACCTCATTAGCATAAATTATCTCGTTGTGAGGGCCTCCTGAAAAAATCATCTCATTAAAACTCCTGATTGGTTTGTCAGTCAGTTTGGCCAATTAAGCAACAGATAATCCATCCCGTCTTTCTTCTTCGACTGTTTATTTTGCGTCTGTGTTGGACTCAACGGGGTAAACAACCCCGCAGCAGTTACCTGAACCCTCCGACAGCGGGCGTCCTTCTGCGCACTCCTCCCTGCGGAGTCGGATGTACACAGCGCCTCAGCACGTAGGTGGAGGTCGGGCCAACACTAGATGGCGCTGTTGATTCCGTTGCTTCCCAGTTAGTGGAAGCTGAAACTGCTAGTTACTTGATGAACTGAATTTATTTGATGGGAACTAGTGGCCCTAGTCAGCCATATTGTTTTCATTATATAGTTTTATGTGTGCCTTAAACACGCACCACCTAATATATCTCTTGTGTGTACATGATTCTGTACCATTGTTCAAAATTATTAATAATGAAGCAAAGCCAGCCACTGGAATACAGATATACTGTATATGAAACGTATGGATGATGGAATGGCATCCATACATTTCATTCATCCAAAGAGATGAATAGACATGATTAATGCTTGGGAAAATAGATGGATGGAAAAAAAGCATTATCAATGTAAAGTTGGATTAATAAATGGAAAATGAGGAAGCAGATGCAAGTACATCTAAAGAGAAATTTAGAGTAAAAGTTCTATATTCACAAAGTTTCGCTCGTGTTACATAGATTCATGGGGTGAAAGATTCCAAACCTTTATTTCTTCCATGTTAGATGAAATACCTAAAATACCATCTCAGAAAGTTGGATTGCAACATGAGGTCTATAAAAGGATATTTTAAGCAAATATATGTACTCTGAAACATAAGTTCATTTTTATCCACTCAGTTCTTGATTCTTTGGTCCTTTTGCAGGAATTCCTGTGTTAATGAGGGGTGAGGTGTAGAGGCAACCAGCCTGTGAATTATTTCTTCAGGCGTAATGGAATCCCAGGTCCCTTAGGTAACTGTCTTTAGGTCATCTGTAGTGTTGATTCTGGTTCAGCTTGACACTTTATTGATGCTGTGAACAACCAGCTTGTGTCAGGTTTCCACGGCAGTCTTCCCAATGACTGTGTATCCGACTGACCCGGAGTCAGAGACCGTTTAAGCCTCAGGTGTTTTGAGTAAAACCCAAGAATAGACATGCCCACAAAAACGTTGTAGGCATCATGACATCATTAAATGTTAAATAAATAAATCAAATACTCGCATAACAAACCAGTGGCAGGAATACAAACTATTTATTATATACAAACAAATCAGGGTTCGGTTCAGATTCAGTGATGGGAGCGATGAGGCACCAAATCAGACTCAAGATAATGGGAATGTAAAGCTTCATCTTCCTTCAGTGTTCGTTCAATGCCTAGTATGGACAGATATCTGCTTTCTGGTCTGACGCTGGAACTTTGAAGAGACGCCAAGTGAAGGCAGGTCGCTGATCACGTCGTGGCGAACAGCGTGAGCAGTCCCTTTACAAACGAAACAATCTCATTCCCTCCGAGTTTGGACTCCCCATAAACCCGATCCACAAAGGAGATGGGCACCTTTGGTACAGGACATAGAAGTGAAGAGAATGATTTAGGCAAAATCGAAATAGAATTGTTTTTAATAGTTGGTCAAACTTTTGTAAAATATTCCCTGTCCTATTTATGATTTTGGAAGCGTTTTCAGAGCTGCGTCAATCTGATGGGAGCAAATTCTAACTAATTCTTAGTCCAAGTCAAACCAAGGCACTTTGTCATGTAGAAAAATAAATTAAGTCACTCATTTCCTGCTGAAAACAGGTTTCTGTCTGATAATAAGATCCAGTAAGAATATCTGTATTGATCTAGATATTGATAAAAATTCTAAATGGGGTATCAGTGACAAGGTGCCTGAGCCATAAGATAAGTTTTAAGTTAATTCAGCTGTTTTTCTGTATCGAATCGGGTGATGCTAATCCTTAGATATCTGTTGTAGGAACCAAATATTTTCAGTCGGCTCTTTAAATACAGAAAGAAAAACATTTTAAATGCAGCTGAGTAAAACTCTAAGGCTGGTTCACCTCTCCCACTGTGTAGTTAAGCTGCCTGGCTCGGACGATCATCTCCATCTGAAAAACGTAGCCTTTGGAGACACACCGCTCAACCAGACTCTCCAACACTTTCTTCTTGTATAACCTGATGCAGGAGGAATGAAAAAAAGATGAAGAATGAAAAAGAAACACTCCAATTTCTTCTTCATTGGAAAAGAAGAAGACAGAAAATAGCTGTCGTCTCTTACTGATGCTGAGAAGACAACTTCCCGCTCCACCCACCTGAAGCTTCCTGTGAGGTCTGAAGCGCCGGGTCTCAACAGCACCTGGGTCAAAAAGTTGGCTCCCCGGCTGAAAGCGGGAGAAATAAACAAGAAAGCTTACAGATAAATCACTCAATTTCAGCTTCCTGCCAAAATAGGTGGATGTAAACTCGAGAAAAACAAAAACAAGAAATACACTATGCATCAGCAATAATATTGATATAAGCCGATGTTAGTCATTTTTTAACATATCGATCCTATAAGATAGATTTTTACAACTGCACCGATATAAAGATTTGGGCCAATATTAATATGGCTGATATCCTATACATATTAGCTATATTAATATGGCTGATATGCAATGTATATATATAATATTGGCCCAAATCTTTACATCGGTGCAGTTGTAAAAAACAAAACAAAACAAACTGTGCTGAGCAGTGTCACCTGATGAGCTTCCTGCGCAAGTCCCAGCCGTACACACCTCCACTGCCTTGGTATCGAGTGCCAGACACAAGATCATAATCACCCTCCTTCTGTTTTCTGAATTAAATAATAATAATAATAATAATGAAGCTTAAAACAGGCAGACTCAAGAAAAATATAACATTCTGCTGTCAATCAGAAAATATCTATTTAACCTATGGTGGGAACCAGAAGTTTACATGCACTGCATAAAAACAACATGAACAGAGATTAAATCAGACAAAACTTTTCCTCCTTCAGGTCCGATTCTTTTTGCTAAAAGTCAGGATTACGACATGGGGAATGTTTTCTTCAACTCAGATGTTAATGTACCTTCCTGGATATTTGCTGGAAGTGCCTTGCTGGAATTCCAATCCAATCTTCCTGACAGAATTGATGCCTCACTCACACATATTTTCAGCTGTGTCCATTAATCCTCTACACACCTGAGACTAGCACTTTGTGGTGGTTTTGTTCTTAAACCAAGCTTGTTGTCGCATTTGGGCCTAAGTTTGATCTCTCTGGTTGATGTTCTAGAAGTTGCTACGTTTCCACATATTGTCCCTTCCTGACAATGTCATCTTTTTTGTTTCAGCTTTACCTGTGACACTAAAATGAAGGTTTGTGTTCCCTGATTGGTGGGTAACTTTAATCTGTTTTTTTTTCTTTCAGCTTCTTCCTTGCACAGTGACCTTTTCACTCATGTTAATCTTTGTTTCATGGCTGATAATGACACTCAACCAGCTTCTTCACCAGGAGCTTTGCTTTTGGTCTGTATTTTGGTCAATGTGCAGATTTTTTGCCTCTAACACACAGAACCCATCTCCTTCCCATGCATCTGAAACTTGTACTAGACTAATTCTCCTCCTGATATATTGGTATTCTTTTTTTTAACTACGTCAAACGGCAAAGCAGCGTGTTTGAGTTGCACCTTAAAATTATGCCTGGGTCTAACGTGTTTATTTCCACCAATTGATTACACAGATTTTAAAGCTTTTTTTTCCCCTCTGTGAATTCAAAGAACATACTTGCATTTGCACATTTCTGTGCAGATGACTGCTTTCAAACTCCTGACTTTAGAGGACAATAATAATAATAATAACAACAACAATTCTCATTTACCAATTGGAGCTGGTCAAACTTTCTGAAACAGAACAAATTCTCTCTGAATTAATGCCTTTTTATACAGTGTATTTAAACTTCTGTATATTCTATTACTAATAAATCCACCCTTTATAATACTCTTCATAAAAACCTAAGTGTTTCAGATATACTTACTTGATAAACTGCGGGATAAACTTGGGCTGAAAGCAAAAGCAGCAGTCATGAAATATGAAATTGAACATAACTAACATCACAATGTTTTTTGGCGGTTTTAGAAATTAAGAGTTAAAAGAAAATAATTTCTCAAACACAAACAATGGTGACACTTTGTGGCCATGAAGGATGCCAAACATTTTCCACTCACATGGTGGGAGAGATCTGCATCCATTATAATGATGAAGTTCCCAGTAGCATGCTTCATGCCATGAATGTAGGCCGTGCCTTTAAAAAGCAGACAGGACGCCGTCACTAAAAGATCAAGTTGAGAGAGTGGACACAGCATGCTGACAGCTTACCAAGGCCCAGTTTTTTTGCTCTCGGTCGCAGAAGCTGGAAAACAACGAGATTTATTCATTATCTTTTTCACATAGCTGTGAGTCACCTTTCATACACATTTTTAGCACTGAGTTAAAGTTATTCATTTACACAGGCAACAAAGAATAACTGCATTAAGCGTAATTAGAACATAATTTGATTTTTCATGCCAATTTATACATCCTCAGATTAGCATGCATACATTACTTGTGCTTCTTAGCTTACTATTTTGTCAGCTCCATAAATTTTCTGCAGCTGTTCTGCCACCTCCAGTGTCCCATCTGGGCTTCCGTCGTCAATGACAATGACCTCATAATCATACCCACTGCAAGATGTACAAATTAAAAGATGCATTTCATTAGTTAGAGCAGTTATACACGTGATGCTGAGCACGACTAATTCAAGCAAGAAACTGAACCTGAAAATGAGAGCAGCTTTCCATTAATTGCTCTGTTTGCTGAATAACAGGTCAACTTCTTATAATCTTAATTATTTTTCTCCTATTATACTGATGAAAACTAAAACCTTGCATCATTCTAAGTCTGGGGGGGTCACCAACACTTCCCCTTGTAAAGACAGTATAGTGGTTTTGAAGCAAACAGAAGATTATAGACTTTAAAGATTATGAAACCTAGAATCTTACCCAAGTTTTCACATCACAACCTGCTTTAAAGGAGTTTTAACATCTCAGATGATCCATATTCCATCTGTATTTCAGCCCTGACCCTCTTGTTAGCTCTGGTTAAGTGACAGCTCAGCTCAGCTCAGCGCTGCCAGCAGCAGCATCAGTTAGCATAGCCGAGCAGATCAGGAGTACAACAAACTCACCTTTCCCCGAAATATTTCACCAAGAGCCACACGATCAGAGGAAGGTTCTCTCTCTCGTTGTATGTCGGTAACAGGACAGAGTACTTGTCTCCGTTCGCTCTCTTTGCCTGCAAAGACTTTCTACTCGCCATGTTGACGTGACCAGACACGAAAACGGACGTGACAATGGAGTAATAATTCTGCGCAGGCGCAAAACCACCCAGCTTCCTGTTCGTAGACTTCAAAATAAATTGAAAACTTTTTAAATCCTAGACAGACAGTTAGTTAGTTTCCGGTTGTACATTTCAAAGTTGTTCCTACCTGGATCTTGCTTGACATGTTCAGTGGTAGAAATTCACACCAACAATCTATGCAGTATCAATCGAATGCCATTTTATCTGAACATAATACCTTTTGACAATAATTCAAAGATTTTATTTAATATTTAAACACTTTTGTTCTCTCAATCATACAATTTGCCAAACTTAAGACATCAGAAAATGTAAACAGGGGCTTCCAGGTGAAATTCAGAACATATCAAATTTACATGAATTAAAGAAGATGCAGCAAATACTACAAAACATATACAAATTATCATACATATAATAAATGCAGTCACAGTATTATTTATATATAGTGTAAAAAAGAACCTTTCATACCACAAAATATGGATTTTAAATAATCTTAGAGACATCAAGGCTTTCAATGAAAACAAAAAAATATTTCAAAGGCTTAACTTGGTACTTTAAGCAGTGCATGAATACATGAAAACATAAAGAAAAGCTTTCAGTGCTAAACTGTATAATATGGAACTCAAATGATTCAACTGAGATTTCTTTATTATAAACAGTTATTCTGGTTTATCCTGGAAAGCTCTCTGATTCGTCTTAGGTTCATTTCTCTGGGCATTTCAAACAGAATGGAGACTGGAACAGGGTGACTGATAAACACACTTCTGCTCAGCTCTGAAGGAGAGTCATTTCATTGGTGACTGCTTGCTTTCTCCTCTCAGGGTTCGTAGCCGTAATAAGGGTCTTCTGGATGAAGAAAGTACAACGAAAGAGAAAATGTTGAATAAAATACTCAATTATAAATTAGACAGAGCGAAAAACCAATTTGATCCTGCTCCAGGATAGTTTGGCTCAAACAGATCTGAACTGTCACAAAGGTCATTTCCCAGGCTTAGCATCATCATTCAGCCATTCTTAGCAGCTAACCTGTTTGTTGGGGAACATTTCGACAGCCTCCACTGCTGTCACACATGCCCCGTGGTCCAATCTCTCCTGGCTGACCTGAAGGCCCAGTGGTCCCTGGTGGCCCTGGTTTACCGTCGTTTCCTTTTGGACCTGGGACCCCTGGCTTGGACTCCCCTGGAGGACCTGCACACACAAAATGCACAACTGTCACATATCCTAATCACACCTGATAGTGTGTTAGACAGTGGAGTAATAAATGGAGCACACAGGTCAAGGAGAGGTACCTGCAAACCCTTTAATCCCTGAGGGCCCCTGGACATTATTCCCCAAACTTCCTTTTTCTCCAGGGATTCCTCGCCGTCCTGCAGAGAAAAAAGAAGCAATTGAACAGAATGTCTTGATGTGTCTGATGATACATCAGATCAAACCTTACCTTGCTCTCCTGGATACCCAGGCCTCCCAGGCCTCCCTCTTGAGCCAACATTCCCCTGGTTACCCCTTGCACCAGGTGGGCCCCTGGATCCTGGTATTCCAGGCTCCCCTGGGGGACCCACCGGCTCCTCAATAGGAACAGGCTTTTGACTAATCTCATTGATGTACATATCAAGCTTCAAAACCTCCTCTGAAAACAAAAGACATCACAGCATGTTGTAGACATCCATTGTGTTGCAGAGACATAGAAAACAAACAACTCATGTGTGTTGGTTTTATCACAGTACTCACTGTGAACTAGCTGTTCACAAGCCTGTGTCACCAGCTGATAGATCATGGCCATAGACTGCGGTTCCCCCTGAAAAAGATCACTAGCCAGTGAGCCTGAAGAAATTAATCAACCAATCGACCAATCAATCAATTCAGCCTTAATTAAGAAAAAATATTTTAAAACACCAAAGAAAATCTTATCCTGCAACATTTTACTCTGCAATAACAGAAATGCTTTCACCCATAAAACTCTGGAATGCTGTGCATATAAAAACACTGAGTGGTGTATTGAAATATTCATTGAAATACAAATATAAAAATACAAAAATGTATTTAATCCTGTTGTTGATTGGGTTATGCCTTTATTTAGAGGATTTTTCCATCATGTTTGAAGGTAACCCTCACAAAAATCATATTGAACTTCCATGGCTGATGGTCAACTGGATGTAATAGCATGATTCTTTAAACATAAACTCAGAGTGGTGGTAAATATATAATTTGCCCTGTTACCCACCTTTTCACCTCGTTCCCCTTTATTTCCTGGCAGACCCTGTGGAGTTAAACATACATGAGTGTGAACTGGTTGATAACCATATATGAAGACAAGCTGGGCAGCTTTTGTGTTTGTCATTGAGTTTTTACCGTTGGTCCAACAGGTCCAGAGGGACCCCTCTCCCCAACAGGTCCTGGGTATCCCGGAAGTCCTTGGAAACCCTGAAGCACAGAAAACGTTTAATGGAAACACCATCAAATATTAGGTGAAAACAGAACAACAGTTTATATGGGCATCCAGACAGTGGACCAAACTGTGCTGGCCAGGAAGCTGAAGGGTAAAAAGGGGTTTTGATTTCAGCGAAACAAAATGTCCCTATAGTTGATTTGTTCAGCTCAGGCTGTTAGAAAAATACACAGAGGACTTTCTTACCCTTGTGCCTGTAATGCCTGGGGCACCAATATTTCCCTCCACCCCTCTGATACCCTGGAAAAGAGAAAGCAAGAAAGGAGGACTGAGAGAAATTTATACTGGAAGAGGACCTGTTACCTTTCGCTGGGATCAAGTGGCTCACCCTGGGGCCTGGGATCCCCTCTTCTCCCTTTGGACCTGGAGGTCCAGGTGAACCCTACAGGAAGAACAGACAAGAAAGTCGAATAGGGAACTTTAAGTGTGTTATGTTATTGATTCTATGTAGCATTTGTGAACACTATGAATGAAGATATTACTGTTATGTGACAGCTAAAGAATGAAGAAGGAGATTACCATTATCTGATTTCAACTCACCTGCACTCCTGGTCTGCCAGGATCTCCTTTTTCTCCCCTCGCTCCTGGTGGACCCTGATCAAGAAAAATGGTTAAAAACATAGGAATATGTTCTTTTTACATATATATGTCTTTATAAATCACATTCTAAGAGAGGAAATGTCAAAATAGGACTCACAATTTTCCCTTGGACTGTTATGCCTCGGGGGCCAATGCTGCCCACAGGTCCAAGACCCCCCTCAAATCCAGCCTTACCTGGGGGGCCCACTTCTCCCTGACAGAGTAAGCATCACAAAATTTTCATGTATGAGTTTAGATTTTCTTTTTTTTTTTTCCTCCAAAAAATTCCTCAAAACTGACGAAATAAACACGTTAAGTTGTCATGTAATTGCCAATTTAAGCCATTAGATGTCACTATAGCATCAAAACCAGATTACCTATTACTTTACCTTCTTTTGTGACCAATCTTTGATCAGTTATCCGTATAAAGGAAGACAATGACATTTCTAAGTAGACGCCACGACAACATCACACATGTACTGGGATGTAAAACAGGCTAAAATTGAATCTGAAGCATGTTAAAAAAATAGTTACAGCCAACTCTATAGGCTTTATAATGAACAAAAGCATTTTCTGCATTGACTGAGACCCAGCTCAGCTCACAAAAGCTGTAGTTGCTGTTTGCTTCCTGTCCCCAATGAGTCATGTGTCTATTTCTACCATGTTACACTAAGAAATCTGTGTTTTCCTGACCAAATACAGCGTTTTTTTACTGCTGAAAGTGAAAAGCACTACATTTTCTCTTCTATTTGAGCAATTTGGAGGAATCACTTAATCTAGCTTCTTTGTTTTTGAAGTGTGGGTGGAACAGAAAGAACCCATGTATGTACAGGGATTTTGTATTTTTGTAATTTTGTAATTTGTATGGAAATTAAGACTGTAATATAGAACTTTAATATAAAGAAAGACTTGAAGTTCATTTTCTCCACAGTTAGAGAATTTGAAGGGCTCTTCTTACTGTTGCCACATTAATGTGTCCCTGAAACTGCACTCACTAAGAAATGTTTCTGGTTGTTAGAGGATTATTGTCCATTAGCAGATAACAAACTAGAAGAAAGGAAGAAAGAAAACTAGCTGTTAAACCTACTGCTAATTTTAACTGTTAAGAATGATCATTGTCATCTTACCTTTGAGCCCTGTTCTCCCTTATCACCTTTTTCCCCTCGAAGACCTGGTTTCCCCTGTGAAAAAAAATATATAAATGCAACATTAACATTTTAATAATCTTTAGAAATATGCTTTGGTGCTTGTTATATCACAAAATATTACAAAGAAATAAAAAAATATGCATGTAGAGACATACAATTGGTCCAGGGGGCCCTGGAGCTCCTTGAATGTTGGAGGAACAGGTACATGCATACGGTGGAGCAGGACAGCTCTCCTCATCCCTCTGAGACATAGTCAGCAAAGGCTTTAGTATGTTCCCCAAGAGGGAAATGTGTTGTTTAAGTACAAATATCTTACATACAGCACATAATTAACATTTCAGTCTGTCATCATACAGAGTCCCTACATCAAAATGAAAAAAAAAAGCTGGTTAAAGATGGCAGTATCACTGACCACTCCAGGCAGGTCACAACAGGTGTCCATTGAAGCCCATGTGTTGTTACAGATGATTTCAAAGGACAGAAGCTGGAACTGAAGATATTAAAGAGACAAAAAACAACAAAACATTGTGAGCACCATTGTTTTATTTGAAGGATCAACTGATTTAATCTCAGAGAGGAAATGTAAGTACTGGGGCTGAGCCGCTTTTAGGTCCTCTGGTTTTAACCAGTTTTCCCAGCATCTCAAATCCATCGGTTGGTAGGTTTCCCAGAGGACGGGCTGGCCTTTCACCAACAGGCTGACAGTCCACAGACAGGGAGACGCTCACCTGGCTGACAGACAGGTGAACCTGCCAGAACCAAATTAAAACACAAACACTGCTAATGATGATGGCAGATTAAGGGTGCAGTTGACT